GCCAAACAGAGACTGATACTATAGAGACAGGAACAGAGACAGCCAGAGACACAGACACACACGCACACATAGACAGGCAGAGGGACAGAGACACACACATACATATAGACAGACAGAGACAGACCGACAGACAGGCAAGCAGACAGACAGACAGACAGACAGACAGAGACAGACAGACAGACAGACAGAGACAGACAGACAGACAGACGTGCTCGACAAACATATAATGTGACTGTAGGCACGGCCTCACACGACAGCATAGCAGTGACTGGCCTCATTGTCGGAATCTTGTCTATGAGTTGTTTTCCTTGTGCTTGTGTTCTCCAAGCTGCTTGTTGACTGCGACTTCCAAGCTTTGCCAGTTGCGGCAGATGGAGGACACTTCCTTTTCCCCCTGCTGTCCTACCAGCTTGACGCTCGAACATGTGTTGTGTATGTCCTTTTCTGGGAATGCGGCCCCCATACCTTCCACTGGCGTTTGATTCGCCAGGTCTCCACCCTTCCCCGCCTTTTTGACCAGGGGCCGGCTGTAGCGTTTCAGCTGCATTACGGATCTGGCGTGTGCTCGGTCAACGCTAAGCTGGATTGATGAAAAGTCAAGGATGACCAAGGGACTCGGCACGTGTTTTGCTCTCACTTGGTTGGGCAACCATTGGCCTTTAGCTTGCTTCACGGCAATCAAGCACACTGTGCACAGGCTTCGCGGCCAGTCCTTTGAGGTACACACCGTGTTTTAGTTTGCCTTGAAGTCTTGTGTTGATTAGGCTGAGTGAGTCGGCACCGAAATGCTTGAGCTGGTTTCTGGGCGCATGTCCGCACGTTTCCACATGGCTTCAAGGGCCAGAAAAAGAGCCGCAGAGAGCTACAGCAGGGCAGTGAGCTTGGGCCGAGCGAAGGTGCAAAGTTCTAGGGATGTGACCGGAGTTGAACTTGTTTTTAGACTAGAGGGGAGCTTGATGGGATTGATTGGTTTCTGGAGGGGAATTTGACCGGCTTTGGGAGGGGAATTTGACCGGTTGCTAGGGGATTTGACCGGAGTTGGGCCGGCTTTGAAAGGGGAATGTGACCGGTTTCTGGCCGGATTTGTGGGCCGGCCTTTGACTGGTCTAAATGGATAAAAATTATCCGGCTTCTGTGTGATCGCTTCCCGTCCTGGGGCTTCCAGGCTCGCTTCAGGCGGATTGGAGGCAGCTGAAGCAGGGGTTTTGCCCGCGCGACATGGGGTCGGGGGGCACCAGTTTGGAGGGACCTTGAAGTCAACAAAACCAGCTCAAAGCAAGTGTTGTCAAGTGCAAGTGTCACCAATTGCAACTTTCTCACTTTGAGTCAATGTTTGGCCATCATGGCCTTAGCTTTCACAATAAAACAGTGTTGTTTGACAAGGTATCTGGTAGTGCTTTTGCATGTATGCCGTCAGTTAGTTCACTTGCTATCTAGCTTCCCAACAAGACGAAATGGGCCTCGGACCCACAATTTGGCATGCAGCAGAAGGACCCGAAGCACGGGAGGGGCATTCATGGCGCCGGCCACTTGCAGAGATAGGTGCATGGTCACTTGCCCCAGTGTCTGGACTTTTCTTTGTTTTATGGAAAGCCGTCTCTGCTGGTGTAATTTCTTGGAAAGCCGTTTTAGTGGTAAACAAACAAGTCAGGAAACGAGCATGTATCTTCACCTCGAGCAGTCGGTTGTTCAACGTCCGTCGGGGGCTTACGTCTGCCTCAGGCGTCCCCGCTGGAGAAATGGGACACGGATGCGTTGCCACGCTTCAAGCTGGAGAAGAGCGAAGAGGCTCGGCACTGTAGGGCCAAGCCTTGAACAGGATGAGTGTAACCAGTTCTGAAAACCGCCTTTACGAGTCCGTGTGTTTGAGCCAATTTTGGTCACCCTAGCACCATGGGCCAAAGTGGGCAGACCGAAGACCGACCAGGAGCCTTAAAAAGCGTAGCTGTCCTTTTCAGGTCAGCTAGGTTCAAAATGACTGGTGCGGCTTCAGTTTGGTCCTAGTTAGGTTTCTTGAAAGTTCACCAGCCGGTTGTTTTGCGGCGCCCTGTGTTCCTTTATTTCGAGTTTCCTGCTAAGCCCCAGAGGGTTTCTCTTTTCTCACTGGGTGTCTGGGACCGGACAAGGAAACCGTTTGGCCAACCCGGAGAGTTTTGGAACAGCGTCCAACTCTGCTTGGCGCGCGAGCCGTAGACTCGCCAGACATTGAGGAATTTGCTTTGCAGTGTCCAAGCCACATGTAGAGACCCAAGCCAGGTCATCAGCCCGAAGCTGCTCTTGCGCTCCACGTTCTTGTTTGTTTGGGAAAGCTACCGTGTTTAGTCAGCGCCATTGTCTGGAATAGTCTCAGAAGTTTTCGAGTGCTTGGCGCGGAAGCCGAGGCAGCTAGTCCGCCTGGGGATGTTACTGGCTCCAAAATGGAACGGCCCTTTCAAGAAAACAGCGGATGGTAGGAGTAAGCACCCACACCACTTGGAGAGTTCTAAGGTCCCTTGCTGCCAAAGCCTCGGCAGCTCAGGCAAAGTTCAATCCCATGCCAGTGGAGATCGGTGCCAAGCTCCGGCTTCAGGACTTTGCTCTGGGTGAGAGGTTGAATCATTCGGATTGGGGCGCTTGAGGGTCCTTGGATCACATCACTGGAAGAGGAGCTTGCCAAAAATCAATGGGCATATGTCGGAACAGCAAGTTGTATGTTTGCCTTGAGGTATTTGCACAAAGCATTGGCTTTTGCTTGAATCCGGGTGAGCTTTCAAGGCTAAACTGTAGGTGTCCATGAAAACAATGCGCTTGTTTATCACCAGTTGTTGTGCTGTTTGCCACGGGAGTATTGAACTGGATACTGTTCCAGTGAGCATGAAGGAGGGAGGATGAATGAGATGGACCCATGCAGAAGTCAGAAGCGATCAAATATTGGGTCGCATCACGTGTCCTGGGGTGAGTGAACTCCTCTTTGTGAATCGAAGCGGTCAATCATTGGGTAAGATCATACGTCCTGGGCAAGTGATGTCTCCTCGTGCTTTTGCAGCATGTGTTCACAGCACGCAACCATGATGAACCAGGTCTATTGAATCAGCCCCAACCCTCGCCAAGCCAAAGACGCCAACCAGCCCGGCCAACTGGAAGAGCTTGCACGCAACAACCGACAAAGTGAGTGTTTATGTTTAAGCTGATGTAGAGGGCCTCCTTGTGGAAATAGGTCAACAGGTGAAGCATGTGGGATGTTGGGTCATACCAAGGAACCCCCTTGGAAAGTGACAAGTAGTCATAGGGATAGCCCGTTCAGGTGTCATAAAGAGCTCACCTAGGGCTTAAACAAGCTCACTTCTGAGGGAGGTGACTGATCTGGGGATTCTTTGTGTCAGACTCGCGAAGCGTAGCATGTTGTGCAGACATGCCACAGGGATCCGGCACCCGCCCGTGATGCAGAGGCGTGTTTTGACCATTCGACCAGCCACAAGCAAAGAGGTGAGCGAATCTTTTGATCGGCCCCTCTTCGGAGCCGCGTGCCAGGATCCCAAGACTGAATTCTCAGAGGATCAAGTCACTACCGAGATGAACGCCCTCGAGGCGAGCGCGGGGCGAGTGGACTTCAGCACAGCAGAATGGGTGTACAGCCTTTCATGTCCTGCAAGAAAATCTGGTTTCAAGGTTGTTGGGTGTGTTGAAGTGTGTTGAGTTGTGCAGAAAGATAGTGTTTCAGCACAGGCCAGCGATCGTGCCTGCAATACAAGCAACCACCCCCTTCCCCCCCTGTCTGATAGTGGTTCGTGTATTTGTATTTGTATTTGTATACCATATACTGTAGATTCGTGATCATTGCACATGATGTACATGCACGCATGCCTTACTGCACATGTACCTGCATTACATAAGTATACGCACATGTCACATGCCCACATATGCATGCACATACATGCACACACACACACACATGCACACAATCTCTATATAGGTACACATAGAAATGAAGCTTGAGAACCGCAGTCCTACTGTAGTGTGTACAAAAATACTGGCAGGGCTCAGACACTTCTCGCATGTGCCAAAGGCCAGTGCTCCCTATGGCTTTATTTGATCTTGCTCGAACTCAGGTGGTCAACCAAGCATGCTTGGTTTTCTTAGACTCTCATGTTAGAAAACGTCAATGCACATTTGAATGCTTGGCCGTTTGAGGGCCAACTTTGTTCAGCTTGCTCCCGGGCTTGCTATTGGTTGCTCTGACAGAGTAATCTGGAGGAGTGTCTCGACAAGAATACTTAAGGGAACAAAAGGTGGTGTGGTTGTGCACCGTGCTCGGTGCCCGGGTCTCCAGCGCATTGCGACCTACTGGTTGAACAATTGTCTCAGGAAGCTTCCTGTTTGGGACGGTCCCCCACGTTAATGTGTGAACTAGTTGAGCGGGCCTTCAATCAAGGTATTGAGTTTACGCGTATGAATCACCAATGCTTTTCAGTTGACATGCTCGCGGCCAGGGCCAAAGCCCGTTCACACAGCGACATCAATGCTGCTCTTCAGGATGGTCCCTTGGATGCATGAGAGAGTGACAGCATTATGGGCTGTTGCTTGTGCAAAGAAGATGCTTGGTGGCCCAAACCCTTTCCGTTGCCTTCACAGCAAGTGTTTGTATGAATGAGGAGCCTGTGTTCACATGATGCCAATGTTCGCCATCATATTGTTGGCATATCTTTCCTGACAGCAATGCTTCGGCTTTTGTGTTGTTAGGGCATCTCGTAGCTCGTGGCTTCCTTGTTGACGATACGATTCGCAGGGCCATTTTGCTTGAAACCACATGTCCTCAATTTGAGGCTTTGCTGACTTTGCTGTTGTGGATGTCTGAAAAGATGAGTCTGAGAAGCAACTTCCAATGGAAGGACGTTTGCCTGCTTCCTTTCGTGCTGGCCTCGCACGGAGAAGTACAAGTGTAAACCAGGAGAGGTAGCGCCAACCTTCTGGATGTTATTGGCATGGTCAGCAGCACCCCATGAAACATAATGTTGGTCTCAACGTGATATACTGTGGGGTTATGCCCAACGCAGCTTTCTGGAAGGGTTCAGGAAGTTCATGTGCCACGTGGTTGCCTTGCCGAGGCTGCGGTTTTGCTCGTGATCTGCCGGCCTGCCAGAGATGGCGACTATTCACTGTGCCGCTGGAATATGTTTCATATCATAGTCTTGCCTGCCGATGTGATCTGCGAGCTAGCTTTTGGCATGTTGGCTGCTAGCAATGGCATGCAGCGCAAAAATCCATCGATCCCATCGATCCCTGCCACTTGCTATCAGTGCCAGCGGGCACAATTATGTCATTTTCATTTTATCTCCTGAGTTTTGCTCCAAGTGACAGGAAGTGCCTTTTCGTGTGCTGCTTTACTGGGCAAGAGGTGGTCTGAGATTCCGTGTAAGCCCAAAAGGGCAGTGGAGTCTGTGGAGTCCTTGAAAGGAAGGCCCACGATGGAACAGAGTGTCAGAATGGCCCTGGCGAAGTTGCATCCCGTCCGTCAGTCTAGGGAATGCGCAGCGATTTCCTACACGCCTCGAGGAGCACTCATGGTTGTGCCTGGCGGCATCGGGCTGTTCTGGCCATTTGGGACAATTCAGAATTTAACGCCGCCGCATAGCCGGAGGCTGTTTTCAAAGTTTCATCGGCTTTGCGGTGCGTGCTCGCATTGGTTCTGCCTTTGTTTTTGTTGAGGAGTTGTTTTGCATGTTCAGGACCATGTTGTTTTGCATCTTTCTGTTTTTTGAAGGTGTTTTTGAGTCCAATGCAGTTCATTGAGTCAAGAGTTGTGACCACCCTGTGCACTGCTGGAGCCCGGATGGCACCAAGCCGACGAAGCGCTGCGTGGCGCGATGCAAAGTCCTGGACGCGTGTTTGGCACAGCGCTTGGTTAACTTTGGCTGCACCCTCAAGCTACACCGGTCCCCTGATAGACTCGTTGACGACTGTGAATGGTGTAGGACATCCTGCGATTGGCTGCACCCGAAGGAATCGACCAACTTGTCACAGTGTGCATGATATGTGTAACGGTGGCCTTAGTGGCCTTTGTCTACGCGCATGGACTGCTCAATGACATGATTATGCATTACACAAAGCTTGGTGGTCAAACGCGAAGGCGTGCAAGACTATTTGTGACTGACCCTATATTCGTGGTATGGTTGAGTTCTGCTCGTTGCCAGTCACGCCTGCCCTGTTGCCAGATTTTGTTTCTTGACCACTTCTCTGCTAAACGGGTCGCAAAGTGTGTCTCTTGCCCCTACCCGGGTACCCTTTTGGTGCACACCGAACTTTCAATTCAAGACTCCGCCTTCTTGGTTTCAGACTGCACCAGTGAGGGATACTTGTATGCTAGATTCAGTACCAGGCGTTCTTTACGCCCTGCTTGAGAACTATGCACACAGAGGGCTTCAACCATTGAGAATGTAACAGTGTTTCACATGCACCATGTTGCTCATAGATTATATGCATGACGTCCAACTTGTACACGATGCCAAACAAGGATAGCGGTTCACAATCACCTGTGGCTTCTTTTAAACGAGAATTCACCTGTGTTGTAGGAAGTAGCTAGACTACTCCCTCACGACTGGCTATTGTGAACCTGTGCTCAGTCTTGAGGTGAGCTGCAGTGGCATTTTCAGCATGCAACATGATGGTGTGTGGCGTCCTTTTGAAATCGACCTTGGAGGGAGCCTCTAACTTTTACCACATCGCATTTACGAGTGTTTTTGAAATATATCCTTTTGGGGTGGTTTCATTAGGGGAAAACCAAAGGGATAGCACCCATGCTGGGATCTAATTCGTTTCACCCCTGGGTGCCATCTCCTAGGTGACAACTGGCACCTCCCCTTGCTGCTGGGCTACGTGGACTTCATCGTACCGCGGCTGGAGCGCCTGAAGCGTCACCTGGTGTACATCAGGCGATGCGGATGGGGAGCTGTGGACACAATCAGAAGCCACCAAGCCATGCTCCGAAAGTGGACATGACATTGCGAGGTTGCAAAGGTGCAAAGGCGGCTTGATATGAGCACGTGTTCCAGCCTTGGTTAAATCTCTATTTGAGTGGACAGAGTGTTGCTAGTTTCTTATGGTTCGTGGGCAGGTTGCAAGCATGTAAGCCTCATGGCTTGTCATTGCTGGGTGGTGGGCTCCACCAGCAGAGTAGACGTGGTATTGCCATTTCCCAAGACTCGTGAGGAACCTCAGGCAATCCTTGGCGCAGACATGTGCAGTGCGGGTGTTGTAACATGACATAGACAGTGGAGCCATCCTTCGGTCCGCTCGGCAATGGTATTCGTCTACTGGTTCAAGTTTCTCAGATGCTGGCCATGACGGGGATATCTTCACGAATCTGACTTTTGAGGGGCGTTGTCTCGATGAAACCAGGGTACTCTGGGATGTGACCCCCCCTGATAGAAGCAGAGGGGCTCACTTGAGTGTCCCACATCTGCGCACTCTTCATGGACGAAACGTGCAAAGCTATGCGTCGCACTTGCAAGTTGACTCTGAGAGAAACTGGGTCGGGATGGCTGGCCGTGTTTTGCTATTCTGAGGAGCTGTCCAAAGAGGAATCTTGAGACACTGAGAGAAGCATAAGAGAAACACCGGTCTCTTCGCAAGGCTGTTTACGTTTCATATGTTCAGGACGATCCAAACGGGTTCCTGAATTTTGAGCCCCCTCGTTGCGCTTTTTGGGCATCGGCTTACTGGCCGTGAACCGCGCAGTGGCGAGAGAGAGAGAGAGAGAGAGAGAGAGAGAGAGAGAGAGAGAGAGAGCCCGGCAGGCCTCATATGGTGCCCGGCTCAGGATGAGCTCGCTGCTCGCGTGGGGTCTAGCTCGTTTCCTTCCAGGTTCCATCGCCTTGGGTCCCTGTCCCTTCTTGGTGGTTTGAATCACCTCTTTGGCCCAAAGGTGAGCTCCCCTTGAGGGTGATGTTAGGGGAAAAACAGTAACCCCTGCCTTGAGATCTATGTGATTCCGTATCTGGACAAGCTGCTGCCCTACGTGGACCTCTTCGTGGATTACCCAGAAGCCTCTGCAAACGCAGATGTGCTCACAGCCTACCTGGGCTGGGTCTTGCAGGCCGGCGTCACCCCTTTCTTTCGGGCCACGGAGAGGAGCCTGCCCAACAAAGCAACTTCCCGCGTGTTCGGTCAAAGCCCCACCAGCATGGTGGAGTTGGATCCTGTTTCATGCGGGGAGGCTCTTAAACACGGAAGACGCATGATACTGACTGACTGATCATATTTCTGTGTCCTCCGTCGCGGCAAAGCGAAGTGGAATATGCTCCGTCACAGTTGACCCGGCCCCTACTTTTGAAACAACACGCAAGCATCTGACCACAGAGTCAACTGTCAGAGTCACTCTGGCCGTGGACGACGTTTCCAAGCAGGAACTCAACCATCATATTCATGCATATCTGTGAGACAATAGTTGCCCTGCCGACAGGTGCCTTTGCTGCCGCGGCTGTTGTATGTGCTGGGAGCCCAGCAAATCACAAAGACGGGTCAGGGCCAGAGACCGCCGTTCTTCTTTGCAATGCAACGGCAATTGCTTCGAGGGTCTATTTGGTTGCAAGTGAATATTCATCTTATGGGAGCTAAGTAAGCTTATTAAGTGGTCAGAGGTCATCCATCCTGAGACCAGGCGAGAGGTCTGTTGCAATACTTCAAGAATCACGGTGTGGGAGTTCTCGGAATGGGTGTGTTAATTTAGGGAAGTGGGGAACCCTTTTTTTGGTTGGTTGGGCAAAGAAAGCCAACAGGGAACCAACCTTTTTCGGGGTCTCGTTTTGAGACCTCACGTCGCCAGTCCCGGCCATATGTCTTAGGCCCGTGGTGCCATGGCCGCCTGGACAGCAACCAATGCCCGCTGGGAACTGGCAAGACAGCAGTTTTTGAGCAGGGTCAGGTCTTCAACCTGTGTTTGACCCTATCAAGTCCATTTTTACACTGTCATGAAGACACTGGCCACTTTCCATAGGTGTTGGTAGAGTGTCTGAAGTGTCAGGCATTGTCTTGTCAAGGGTTCGGGTGGCGGAAGTTACCTCATTCACATGCGGAACTTCTTGTCAGCTGTTCTGGGCCGCTCCCTTGCCTTTTCCGGAGCTGAGTTCGGGGGGTGTGTGGGCTTCAGCAAAAGGTAGAGCTGCAGCTATGTGGAGCACTTCCCTGAGGATCTAAAAATGCAAGGAATTCGATGGAATCAGTGAGCGTTTCAGGGGGGTGAACTGTCATCAGGATGAAAACTCCTTTGCTCGTGGAAATATTGTTGCTGGTGTTGGGATTTATTATGGAATGTTCAGATGGAATAACTTTGCTGCATCACGACTAGGTAGCCATTCGGGTAGACCTTGACAATGGTCGCAAGTTGCATCTGCCGTGGCATGGCTTAAGCACCCGGAAGGCATCAGCAAAGTGCTTCATGCTAGCTGCATGCCCTGCGGCACCGCTGAAATTGGTTGAGTACAACCATCGCATCAACTCCTGCAAGAATGGCGGCCACTGGCAGCAAGCGCTTCATTTGCTTTACCTCTTGCCGGAGAAGAAGTTGCAAAGCAACGGCATCACGTACTGCAACGTCATCGGTGCTTGTGCGAGACGCGGGCAGTGGCAGCGAGCCTTGCTGGTTTTCCAGGAGGCGTGACGAGTTTGATTTGTATGCTTCTTGCGAGTAATTGTTTAGCTTGAGTTGGGAGTTGGGATGTTACCCATGGAAGTATTGGTGCAGCATGGCCATGATGGTCTTGCAAACATGGAAGCATTGGGTATTGTTTGGCGAACAACTTTCGTGGTGTGGTGCCTTTGCTTCATTAGGCACTAGCATGGGTGCATGAAGAGATGGTTGAGGGTGACTTGCCAAAGGCCATCCTCATCGAGTTGGACATATTTATCGCCAATGCCACAATCTCTGCCTGTGAGAAAGCTGCGCAATGGCAGCTCGCTCTGGAGTTGCTGGCACAGGTGCACACCACTAGACTGCAAGCAGATGCCGCTTGAATTCGAACCTCAAGTAGCGGTATTAACGGGTGTTCAACTGCCGTCGAAACTTTTCTTGTCACTGTCCGCGTGGCCGTTGTTGTCGTTATTGTCGTTATTGTCATTTCTGTTTTCTTCCCGTCGTTGCTGTTAGTGTCGTTCTTGAAGTTGTGATTGTCGGCATCATAGTGGCAGCTTTCGCTGTAGACCCGCCTCCCTGAAACATGGTGGCACAGGCGGCACAGGCGTTTGCGCAGGCGCTTGCCCTCAGTGACCTTCGAAGACCGCTTTCATTCACTTCTGACCGCAAGGTTTCTCAATGACTGACCATTGTTTCGGCTTCCGCCACGTAGTGCAAGACTTGGTTTTACAAGGGTAAGTTTTGAATGGCTTGATTCAATCGGCATCGGCTGCTGTTGCTGGTTGCACAATTGAAAGAGCAGCCAAGCAATCACCAGCCATGACCAGCCATTGCTCCGAGAGGACGCTTCCAGGCTGTTCCAATATCCCGTCAAGGAGGAGAGGGACACTGTGGATCGCTCTGAGGTTGTCACCTTCAACGCCACCATCAGCGCATGTGAGAAGGCCACAGCGTGGCAACTCAGCCCAGCAAGAGCTAAGCTCACCTTGCATGTACTCCCATCAAAAGAAGATCCAGGCATAGCCCCAAACCCTTGTTGGTGGAAGGAGCTAGACGCTTTCGTTGCCATTCATGCGCAACCCTGAGTATTGGGTCTCGTGTCATGACCAAGTTGCAATATGCCGTATTCGTTTAGGGCTTCCAACAAGAGATCACAGAAGTTCTCGTGTTCAAACAAACCTCACCGAAAGTGAGCTGCTTTCCAAGGCAGGAGGCCCTGTGGCTTCTGTGGGAGCTGCCGCGAAGCCGGCTTCGAGCCAATCTCATTAGCTTCAACTCTGCCCTCAGCGCGGCAGCGGCCAAGGGCGCGTCGGCGGTGGAGGCAGTTCTGCTGTGTATGGAGCGGCAGAGGCTTCAGAAGGAGATGTTGCGGGTCGGGGACTAGGGCAATGGGAGAACATGATTTAAACATATGATTGAATTGCAGGAATTAGGATATGCTTTGTTTGTCAAGGGTTGGCTAAAACTACTCAAGGCTACGTGATGAATCAGGCTAAGAACTGCGCCTAGGCACCGTTGGGACACATGTTTTGAACAGCATCACTAATGATTGAAGCAGGCATATACATGCCATCCCAGGGGATAGTGCTTAGTGCCTCAGGTGTCCGATTTGTTGCCAAGCAACAGTGGAACAGAAGACACGGTTTGCTCAGCTGGGAAGCAAAGCTGCGTTGACCCTGCTCCCAGCTTTGACGTTGCGGGAGGGGCTCGCGAGTTTCCGTTTTGGGCAGGCACTACGTCTTGAACCAGACAGGCGGCGAAACACGTAGACACACTGACCTGAAGTTTCAATACATGCATGAACCAAGCCTTGAGTCAGAACACCAGAGATGACAGCACGCAGTACTTTAGTTCATTGTGATCGCCTCAGGACGTGATCACTTTCAATGCCGCCATCCATTCGTGCGAGAGCCGATGGCAAAGAGCTTTCATCTACCTGCAGAAGTTGCTGCAGCAGGACTTGCTGCCAACCGTGGTGACCTGCACTTCGACGGTGCCTCGGCACAGATGTGTAGGCTTGTCGCGGAAATTGGTGCGTGTTTCGGACGGTACGCTGTGTCAAGCGAAACCAGAAGGAAAATCAGCCTTTTGGCCTTCCCCTTTGACGCAAACCCAAATGGAACAAGACCCGCACATCTCCATGAAGATTTCGGAAGTAGCAGAGTCAGGCTCACAATCCCGCACAGCTAGATGCCACCATTCAAGTTTGGCACCAGACACAAGACGATAGCAATTGGCACACGACAACCCTTCCTTTTCTCGGTCCTCGCACCACAAGGGTCACTCGTGTTTCGGGTGTATCTCATGCATGTTCTAGACAAGCCATTCCCACACCACAGATTCGACATCTCAGCACATGCCACAAGCATGCCGCAGGAGCCCTTGCTTAGCAAAGACACTCTCGATGGTATGGGTTTCGGCTAATTCTCCGTGCTTGGATCTTCGCCAAGGTGAATGTGTGCGAAAAAGCTGACCTATGGCGACAGGCGCTGCTGATCAAGAATCTGTCAAGCAGTTGGACTCTGCGCCCCAACGTGCCCTGTTTGGACCATCGAATCTTGCTAGTGCGTGTTAAATAATCTCACTAAATAATTGCAGAAATTTGGGAGGTTGCTACCCTTTTGCCCTTTCGGGAAGGAGAAAGATGGTTTCATGAAGTAAGTATTGAGTACTTGCGAGTCAGCCTGCATCAGAGTCACCAGACGGGGAGGGGGTTGGCATTTAACACCCCTTAACCTCAACTACCAAAAAAGGGCTGCCTTCACTCCCAATGGCACTGGGGTTCTGGGTAGCTGAGGTCATGACCTTCAACACGGCTCTGAGTGCCCTCAGCAATTCCTGGATTCGAGCGCACCTGCTCTTTGCACACCTGGCCACACGACAGATGACGCCGACTACGATCACCTGTCGCTCGTTGATGAATGGTGGCAGACAACTGTTGACCTGCGCGCCTGGCTTCCTCCAACAAAAGTGCGTTTCACAAAGAGCACATACTGATAGGGTCACAGGTTGTTCCATTATTTTTGCTTCAGTCCTAGTCCGATTGGTGGTCCCTGCTCAATTTGCGAGCAAAGAACATTTTTTTCCAATGTTCTACAGTGTGCGCAGCACAGAATCCAGCAAACTCCGTTCAAGGCATTGTTCATTGTGCAAATTCGAGATTAGAGGGCGCTGGCAAGCAGCAATTATAATTTCTCAATTAAATTATATGTTGCAATTGAAATAATCCTAAACATACGTTTTGATAATTCAGATGGCAGGACGGGGTGTTGGGCAAAAGATTGGTCAACTGCATTAATTGTTTGGCCGAGGGGGCCAGAGATCGATGTCGTGAGTCTTCATGTCAATTCTACATTTCATGGTCAGATAGGCCGAAACGTGAGACTCTTCAGGGGTGTGTAAGTAGGATTCCAAGACTGCCTTGTCAGTCAGCTCCCATGTTTGACCAAGAGTCCATCCAATCGAACCAGCATGGCATATCTACATCTTTCAACTCCTGGGGGATGGCTTAGCCCACCAGCTCTCAGCCTCTTGGCCAAACCTCCAAAAAACTGTTTGAAATCCAGGCAACAGGGTCTACAGAATAAGCAACATGCTGCCAATAGGAGAAATGCCTTAGTCTTCGCACATCTTTGCACCCCCGTTGGAGGCTGAGGCACTGCAAGTCGGCCAATTCCAGCATTAGCCAAGTTGGAAGGTTCATTCCCTGAGAAATAATATGGAGCCGCGCACATGCAACAGATTGCAACAGTTTGTTTGGAAAGCGGCCAAGTTTACTCAATCCGACGACCAACGTAGAATTCGGTGGATGTTTGCGAGCTCCTGCTTGCGTGCAAACACACCATCAAAGGTCCGCGTTGAAGTTACATGGAGCTGTGACTTCTTGTATGCCCAGATAGTTTTCCTTGGCGCTCAGTGTATGAGCACAGACATTCATCATAGAATCTGAATGACTTCTTCCCTGCATGTGTGTGATCAAAGGAAGTCAGTGTAGAAGGAACTTCCGTCTCACGGACACTAATTGAAGGTATATTTGCACGAAGACAACATGAAATAATGAACGCTGCGAGAAAACATGCTCGGGCGTGTAGCTCGGGAATAGAAATCGTGACAAGAGCAACTTTTCTGCGTTTTTTTTTTTTTTTCCAGCTATATATCTCAAAGCTATCCCAATCGCGACGCCTTTCCAAATGGTGCCGGAACGGTCTCGGAACGGTCTCGGACACTCTGTTGGGTTGGTGCCTAGACTTCATGACCGCTGCACTTTCGCAGGGTCACGTGCAGCTTAGGCGCAGCGCTTTTCCAACGACATCGCAAAAGCCAAGCGCGAAAGTAAGCGTAGAGTACCTGAAGCAATTTGCGACTTTTCCACTCGAGGCGTGAACATCGACTTTCAAGCACGAAAGTGGAGCGCAAAGTGCGCTTTTGCAGCTGCCAGTCCTTGAGGCAGAGAAAATGACGACATGAAACAGAAACGCATAAAAACTCCTAAGTTTTGAGATTTGCGCCAACCGGCTTCGCCAGTTCTACTGTAGCTGGAGGTATGCACGCGTGTCCAAATAGGTGAACCCCCTAAAGTTGTGGTTTTGTTTTTGGGTATCGCAGAAAAGCAATCCCGAAAGGTGTGGCTTTCCATGGGCAGGCAACGCGCTGCTCAGCAGCTGCGAGCGGGCGGGGCTTTGGCACAGGGCCCTTCGCCGGTTGCCGGATTTGATCTCCTTCAACTCGAGCATCAGCAGCTGCAGCCGCCACCCGCTTTGCAATCTACGGACCTCAATGATTACGTAGTTGCGGGCGCGAGTAAGGCAAGACAAGCCACGATTGGTGGAGCAACATGCGAGAAATGTCCTAGCCGCTTGCAATACACATGAGGCGTATGTGCCAATGTGCATCGCACACGTCTGAATGAATGCAACCATGATTGACAGTTGGGGCCATACAAGTTTATCAAGTTCGACTTCCGTTGCATCTTTGGCTTTACAAACAGGTGGGTTGTTGTAAACCTTTGTGTTGTGAAAGGAAAACTTGCCCTCTAGTCAGTCAGAGCTGCCGCACACCTTTGTTGGCAATAGTTGCTGGGCAGTTGCATTGTGTTGCTGGGTTGGTTTGACTGCAACGAAAGCAGGGTTGGGCAATGCTGGTTTTGACAGCCATCCTGGGCTGTCCAACCGGGACGGATGGTTTGCGTGATGCATGTGGTTGTTGTCTTTAAGAAAGGACTGACATGTTTCATCTCTGAAATGGCTGAACTATCTGGACATAATACGGCGGTCATCCCCTGCAAGGATCCATGTATGTTAGGACGTGGGTCTTTCCCTCGTGCATTTCCGAGAGCAAGCAGTGAATAGTACACTGACATGCGCCTATTTTTGAGGCCAACAACCATCGCAATCGATGTACAAATACCCTACCAGCTTAGTCAAAATATGTAACTGTCTAGCCAGCCAAACATGGCCCATAAAACGGTGGGCATGGCGTGATCAATGCTAAAACTAAAGCAGCATACTTGTTTGGCACAGATTCAAGTAAACATGATCAGGCGTTTGGTTTTTCTCCTCATGCAGATCCACAGGGATCTGCGTCTGCTAAACTCATTTTCTTCCGACAGGCTACGGCGCGTGGGCCGTGGGTTTGGCGCTTTTCGCGGCGTTGCAGCTGCGGTACCTGGAGCCGAACATCGTGACCTGTGGCTCCATCGCTGCCGCCTGCGCCTTGTCGAACGGTGGCGTGCGGCGCTAGGCTTGTGCAGCCAAGTCGAAGATGGCATGAGGGGAACCCAGGGAAGTCCTCCAAAAGAGGTGTCACCCTATTTTGACATGGCCCAAATTGTGCCAGATTGAGGCATGCACTGTACTTAGCCATTTAAAGGAACTGTGCCACCTACTTGCACCCAGATGTGGGAGCAAATGTGCAGAACATGACCATTTGACCGCAAACCAAGGACAAATTTGAGCAAATTGGAGGTTTCCAATTTACTGGCCAGGTTTTGTTGATGCTTTCCTCGAGTAAATAGAGGGGTTGAGTTTTGTGGGGTGAGTTCTGAGTTTCTAGGCACGGGGTAAAAGCAGCTTACCCATGAGAAAGACCCTTGGCTGCGATTCCCGCGTTTTCGGTGTGGTAATTATCAGGGCTGTTTCGATGACGATACGGTTCGGTACCGCAAGCTCCGCGATACCACTCGATTTTATTGATATGTATTGCTTTGAATATCCGATAAACTTGCGATACAGCAGGGGAGTATTGAACAATATCTCGATAAAGGAATATACTCAACCCGGCGCTGCGGCTGCGCGCTGGTGTGCAAGCTGTGCTGCCAACAGGCCGGGGACCGGCGTGTTGTGTCGCCAAAAGCCCGAAAGAAGCAAGAATCGAGCCTGCACTTCTGCAGGTGCTACAGCCAGAGACAATCCACTACACCAAAGCACTCTTACAAGCCTCCTCAAAAAAAGGACTGAAATCGACATTAATTTTGGTCTGGTTGGGGAGTCCTGGATGAGAACTTGCCGAACCCTCAAAAACGATGAAGTGGGAACCCTCAAAAACGATCTAACTCGCCGAGTTAGGTTGATTTCTGGCCTTGGTTGGTTGCAGCTGTCCCGGATGAGCCCTGAGAAGTGGGAACCCTCAAAAACGATCTAACTCGCCGAGTTAGGTTGATTTCTGGCCTTGGATGAGCCCTGCGAAGTGGGAACCCTCAAAAACGATCTAACTCGCCGAGTTAGGTTGATTTCTGGCCTCGGCTGGTTGCAGCTGTCCCGGATTGAGCCTTGGTAAGCGAGAACCCTCACACACGGTGTAACTCGCCTAGTTTGGTTGGTTTCTGCTGTTGCAGCTGTCCCGGATGAGCCCTGAGAAGTGGGAACCCTCAAAAACGATCTAACTCGCCGAGTTAGGTTGATTTCTGGCCTTGGCTGGTTGCAGCTGTCCCGGATGAGCCCTGAGAAGTGGGAACCCTCAAAAACGATCTAACTCGCCGAGTTAGGTTGATTTCTGGCCTTGGCTGGTTGCAGCTGTCCCGGATGAGCCCTGAGAAGTGGGAACCCTCAAAAACGATCTAACTCGCCGAGTTAGGTTGATTTCTGGCCTTGGCTGGTTGCAGCTGTCCCGGATGAGCCCTGAGAAGTGGGAACCCTCAAAAACGATCTAACTCGCCGAGTTACGTTGATTTCTGGCCTCGGCTGGTTGCAGCTGTCCCGGATTGAGCCTTGGTAAGCGAGAACCCTCACACACGGTGTAACTCGCCTAGTTTGGTTGGTTTCTGCTGTTGCAGCTGTCCCGGATGAGCCCTGAGAAGTGGGAACCCTCAAAAACGATCTAACTCGCCGAGTTAGGTTGATTTCTTGCCTTGGCTGGTTGCAGCTGTCCCGGATGAGCCCTGAGAAGTGGGAACCCTCAAAAACGATCTAACTCGCCGAGGTTGATTTCTGGCCTTGGCTGGTTGCAGCTGTCCCGGATGAGCCCTGAGAAGTGGGAACCCTCAAAAACGATCTAACTCGCCGAGTTAGGTTGATTTCTGGCCTTGGCTGGTTGCAGCTGTCCCGGATGAGCCCTGAGAAGTGGGAACCCTCAAAAACGATCTAACTCGCCGAGTTACGTTGATTTCTGGCCTTGGCTGGTTGCAGCTGTCCCGGATGAGCCCTGAGAAGTGGGAACCCTCAAAAACGATCTAACTCGCCGAGTTAGGTTGATTTCTGGCCTCGGCTGGTTGCAGCTGTCCGGATGAGCCCTGGGAAGTGTTCAACATGGAATCGGCTTGAAGCAGTCTCAGTCTGTTTTCTTGGCTTTCCATTTCTCCAAAGAGGGTCTCTTCTAAGCAGCCTCTCAAAGACTTTGCCAGCGCCTCCCGTGCCAGGCAGCCACCAGCACAGCAGCAGCTGGCTGCCGCCCTTCTGGCCCCAAAGGGCCCCTCAAAGCAAACCCCAACCGATACCGATACAAATCGGTATGATTCAAAACGATTTGCAGCGATAGTCTTCGATACGATGTGAGGTTGCGATACTTGCTTTTCGATACCGATAGCTCGCAATACGCAACGATACGATTCGGTATGTTGTATTTGTATTGTTGAAACGACCCTGATTATAGCACTGTACGGCAATATGACGATATGTTTCCTCAAGTAGATGGGTCGTTTCACGTTTTGCCTTTGTGGGTGATTTCTATCATCTTCTTGAATTGCTTGTGGCTTACCAAGTACACACGACTGTTTTTTTTGAGGATCAACGCCTTGCTTCTCCCAACTTCGCTTTCGTAAACTTTCAGGGAAGCTGTGAAGACGACACACATTGGGTCGAATCGAGCGTGAGGACTAATCCGCTCCCCCTATTAATAAATACGCCCCCCCCCGCCCCCCCTCCCCTATTATAAATAAATCCACCCAAAAATATATATTTTTGAATTGTTTTTTTTTGCTTTTCCAACAATGTGAGGGTTCACATAGGATTTGGAGGAAATGGATTGAATTGTAAGGTCCACGAGTAAGCGGTTTAATAAGGAAATTTGATGTATCATTCTATTTGTTTACCAGTTTACTGGTTGTTTGTTTGCAGCCAGGCAGGTTAATTAGCCAGCATGTACGGGGAATTGAGGAACCCACCTTTTGAAAAGTGAGGCTGGAAGCTTACTAAAAGTGCCCCCTAATAAGGATTCCAAGACTTTAGTATTGGTTTAGTATTGGCGCAATGGAAAATCAATTGTGCGGAGTGGAAATCTGGTCTCGGGCCCCGGATTCGCATTTATTATTAATGGGGGTCATTCATCAATAGGGGGAGGAGATTAGATCCACGGATGGCGGGGACGGACACTGCTCGTAATACTGCTCATTTGTGTGAATGTTCTGAAGTACGGGATGTCTTGCAATGGTTGGTGTCCATCCTGTGTCCCCTAACAAACAAGACTGACCAATCTTCGGGAGACAAACAACATAGATCCTTTTTGGACCCCTTTAGTGGTCTTTGATTGCAGGGCGAAGGGGTCTCTAGTTTTGACGTGATAACCAGTGCCCGAATAGCGGTCACTGACTTTTCTGGGCAGCTTTTTGCTTCCAGCTGATGGTTGAATGGCAACATACCCTGTAAATGTGTACTATGGTCACCACACGACCTGGGGTTGCTGGAGATTCAAAGATATAGGATCAACCCTTTGAGATGCAAGTTGGTTAGTGCTAGACTGAGACGGCAATGCGGAAAGGCAGACAACCGTAGGCCGTTGGTTTTGGAGATCCCGCACTAAAAAACGGCGCACCATTACAGTGTCCTGCACCACCCAACAACAAATACCACGTTTAGCCTCTATTTGCCTTGACTTCATGTTGAGTGCGTTGCGTGAGTGTATGGATCCCTACCAGACACAATTATTAATTATCGACAGTTTCGCGGTGCTCCGTTTATCAACTCAATGTGTTCAACACATGAGTGGGGCTCAGATTTGATGTTGTTCAAGAGATGCAAACGCCATTTAGAAATTACTAGTAGTCCACACACACACACGGACGCCTTGAGCGCTTATGTATACGCAGGTATGGCACACATTTGAATGACTGCATGCGCGATCGTTCAATAATCATGTGGCAGTGCTCATTGATGTTCCCAAGCTGTTTGGATGCTAGACCTGGAAGAGGGAGTCGGATTGCCGGAGGCTCTAGAAAGTATGTTGGATACATGGCGCCATGTTGTGAGAGTAGGGTAAACTGTGATCATAGTTGATGACCATCTCTGAGGTTCAGCCTGCATTATGTGGCAGCACGCTCTTCTTTTCATCGCTGCCGCTGACGAGAAGCGTGTGCAGTTGAATGTTGTGTCCTACAATTCTGCCATGTCGGCTTGCGAGAAAGGCGCGGAATGGCAACAAGCAGCTTGGCTCAGGCTAGACCTTACCTGTGCACTATGAAATTGAAGGTCGGCCCTGGTCCAAGCGGTGCATACGAATTGTCCAATGCCTTTGGCCCCGGGTGACTCCAATTTCTCTTGGGTAGCTCGGGCATAATGTGTTTCGCTCCCTTTTGCGGATGATGATTTCCTTGGTCCTCTACGGCGACTGCAGATTACTAAGCACTTGGGAGCCCACGTTTCACCGAGGCCCTGGCCCTGTTTCACGACCTTTGTCGCCGCCATCTTTCTCCAGACATCACCACGTGCAACGCGGCCATCAGCGCCTGCGACCAAGCCTCGCAGTGGCAAGCTGCGCTTCTTCTACTGGGAGCCTCGGCTGAGATCGGTGGCCTTTAGGTGAAGAGCTGCCTAGTTCATAGCCAGCTCACCTGTGGTAGAAAGAGCTTACCATGGCTCAGGGTTCCCGCATTTCCTGGCTTGGAATTGATGTAGCATGTGCAGAGAGATTCAGAAGGCAAGTTACAAACAGGGTGGCTGCAATGCAGAAGCAGCAAGGATTGTGCACCTTTTGGTTCGTGTCTACTTGGGCCAATCCTTCCATGATCGGTAGGCCCAGGATGGAGTTGAGGATGGCTGATGGCGGATGTTGAATTCAATTAATTTTCATGTTTGTGCGAAATAGGTTCATGATTCATGTCCGTTTGACAGAGCAATTATGTCCAGCAGAAACGACGCCCTGAAACACTCTTCGTCAGTGGGGATTCTGTTTGCAACACTCGCTTTGAACATTTATAAGGTTTGGAACCTGAGCGTTTGGTGACACGGCATCCAAGAAACACCGGCATCCAAGAAACACCTTCTTTCAAGTCAGAAAGTGAGGGTGAAGCCGATCTTCTGAACAAAACTTCGGCGCAGGTAGAATTACCATCCATGGCGCTTCTTTCAACCCATTGCAAGTGCTGGTTGTTGCTGTAAGTCTTTTAGGATATTATATGTTCGTGGGGCCCGCAGCCTTCAAACGGCTGCACAAGTCGATCCACGCTGGCATCGAACACCACGGCAGTGAAATTCCTCAAACACGGCCGTTCAATCGGATCAACTCCCCTCGTCGCCAAGGATTGGCGGAGGCCACCGTGCTGCAAGCCGACGTTTTCAGCTTCACCGCGGCGATCGGAGCCTGCAGTCGATCGAGGCAGTGGCAGAGATCTCTGCTGCTTCTGGCAGAGGCGTTTTCCAGGCTCGGAGTCACCGGAGCTTATCGCGTGTAGCACTTTTGGATGTATGCAGTTGGACCACGGTGTGTAGACGGCCCCTGCTTTTCGGCCACGTACACGCGTTTTCAGGGTGTCTCGCCTCTATGCCTGCCAACTGCCAAGCACACTTGCAGTACGTACTGCATCTACGCTTGACAAAAGATAAGCACACCCGCTGAACACCGCAACCAGGGACAAGTCCACCCACTCAAGCGCACCAGCTCAGCACCGTGCATCGTGTCATCAGCGCACAAGGTTCTAACAGAGCCTTGGGCTCCGGTCAAGAATGCTAATATGTTGTCCAGTGTTCGGCAATTCTCAAAGATCAAAGTGCGAGGCTCCGCTCAGAACCCCGAGGTTCGATCATTTGTTTTCCAGTGGGCTTGGCGAATGTCCCTGAACGAAAGTCCCAAAGTGAAGCTTTCTGCGCGGCATCTCATGATCGAATAATGCACGGACTGAAAGTGAGAAATCGAAGTAGCTTTCTGCGCGGCATATTGGGGTGAAATCATGTGTTGACTGCAGATCCACGGACTGGTTGCGAAGCTTGCATGTGGCAAACCCAGGGGAGTGTTTCAATAAATACGCACTGCTTCATCCAAGGCAGTTCCGTCCTTGCAGTTACCAAAAGCACGAAACACCCAAGGCCGTCTACGAGCCGTATACCACGTAGTTGCTTGGGGTAGAAGTGAAGAAGTGCCAACCATGTGTTGCTGCGGGTTTCTATACTCACACAAGAGCAGGTGGCCCTCTTGGAGGCACTCTCCGTTTTGTGGTATGGAGATGGGCCCATTCTGACTCAGAGCATGCTGTGCAAAGCCACGTGAATGGGCTAGGTCTAACCGCATTCCTTTTGGTTTTCCTGGCCCATTCCGGTGTAGCACAGCGGACACGTTGAGAGACAAGGAACACACCTCAACAAGATTCACTTGCCCTTCACCCCTCTGGTCTCGCGTAATAGGGAGCCCTTTGGTTGGATGATGGGAAGCCAAAAGGAAACCGACCACTTGGAGGGCGGCTTCTGGAGCGGTCCAGCCCTGTCAGGTCAGTGCAGCCCAACGCCCTGACTTTGAGCGCCGCAGATCCGGTGCCCTTTCCGCGGGGGCAGCACTGGCTGCTGCGGTGCTTGCAGGCGCGCGCTTGCGATCTTCCGATTGGATCAGATATGGGTCGGTTGAAAAGTAGCCGTGTTATTTTATGGTTTCCTGAGTGTACCATTCGCCAAGTTTGTTCAAAGGGGAATCAAAAGGAAGACCTTGTTTTGGGATTCACCTTTGCTGGCAATGAAAAGAGGAACCCCGTTTTAAAGCTCCTTTTGTAGGGTGCTTCAAGCTTGCTGCTTAGGTGGTTGGTTCAACCCTTGTTTTTTGTGGTGTCGGCATTTGGTCTGGCGCCTGGGATTGCGGAATGGGGGCAGGGGGTTCAAAGTTGGGCTGTTATTTCAGGTGTGTGGTTCAGCAGGTTGGAGGAGTGAAGGGTTCTTGTTGATGTAGTCTTGTGTTAACAACCTGGTTCTGGTTGTTCTTGTTGGTTCTTGTTGCCTGGTTCTTGTGTGTGTGTGTTCTTGTTGGTTCTGGTTGTTTGGATGCCTTTTTTTTTCACCGTCTAAGGTTGGGTCGGGGCTTGCTGCTTGTTTGGAAGGGTGTTGATTGGTGTGGGAATCCGGCCTTAGTCATGAAGGATAAGTCGACAATACCGAAGCCAAGAAACGGAAAGGCCAAATCATTTGAGCGTGAGAAGGATGGCGCTTGAGCGCCGGCGCGGGAGTGCATCTATGCAGGACACTCTGGCAAAAGATCTCCATGGCTGAGAGCATGCAGAACTTGATCCAGCTGGTGGGCATGCTATGTGTGCGGCTGTTTGCACCCCCCATGCTGCCGTTGAGCCCTGAGACCGGCGGAAAAAAAGGCGCTTGCTTGCGACTTTGCTGTGCAACTCGCGGAGTCTTGCAGAAGCTTGCAGAGATCCGCAGCTCCTTGTTTAGCAAGCCAAATGTGCTTGCTTGGAGCAGATGTGGAATGGGCTTTCGACGGGGGGACTTGAACTTTGCTGGCTGTTTGAGCTCTGCTGGTTTGCGCCCTTGTTGTAAGGAAATGACACTGACAATGATTGCCAGACATTTTACCGACTGAAAAAGTGGCATGCAACCCTGTCAGACAGCCGCGCACATTTGAGAAACGGCAGGGATGTTGAATGGCTGTTTAATTAGCTTTGAGTCCAAGGAAAAGTGTTCTCCTTGGTGTCAGCAAGCCTGTAGTCGTGTTTTTCAGACTGCTAAGTTACAACCAACCATCCCAACCAATCCAATCCAACCCAACCCAACCAGCCAGCCCGCCAACGAAGCACCCAACCACCCATCCACACATCCACCCACCCACTCCGCCAAGCCATGAACCAAGCAACCGAAAACCGGCTCCGTTTAGACGTACTGAGGGCGATCACCCGCCTCAGCGGCTGGCTGCCCCGCCGCCCCGTGGCGCCGCTGCTGAAGCGCCGCCGGCAGCGGCTGATGCGGCGCCTGGCGGGGGGCCCCAAGCGGGGCCTGCACGGCTTCGGACCCACCTTCGGACTTTGACCTATCTTGGGACCCGGAACACGTGCTCCAACCGCTTGAAGGTGCTGAACCCGCGTGCGCAAACGTTGGGGCGATATTGCCCCATTTAATTGCAGTAGTGGTGCTTCTGTGAGCCTTGTCGGGTCATCCAAAGCACGCAAAGCAATAACTGTAATTGTTGCTGTGGGCTATAGCTTCCACAGAACATTCAGACTGTCAGCTGCTTAGCCGCGCTGCTTTGGCTGAAGATGCTTTGTTGGATTCATTTGATGATGAACATGATGAGGAAAATGATGATGTTGATGATGATGATGTTGATGATGATGAACATGATGATGATGATGAACATGATGATGATGATGATGATGATGATGATGATGATGATGAAGATGATGATGATGAAGATGATGATGATGATGATGATGATCATGATCATTATTGTCATCATCATGTTCATCATGATCATCATCATTATCAGTTTCATCATCATGTTCCTCATCATCATCATTATCGGCATTTTCATCATCATAGCCCTCATGATGTTCATCATCATCATCATCATCATCATCATCATCATCATCATCAATCATCACTGCGCATCCTCAGCATCACCAGCAGTTAATATCATCACCATGCATCCCCAGCATCAGCAGCAGTTGTCATTTCCAGGCGGGTCCAACGGCACACTTGAAACGTATATGAAAAAGAAGAGCGCCACGGTTTCGATGATGAACATGATGATGAACATGATGATGATGATGATGATGATGATGATGATGATGATGATGATGATGATGATGATGATGATGAACATGAACATGAACATGAACATGAACATGAACATGAACATGATGTTGATGATGATGAAGATTCAGCATCACCAGCAGTTAACGTCATCACTATGCATCCCCAGCATCAGCAGCAGTTATCATGACAATCATGACCACGCATCCTTTGCATTTCCCGTCGGGTCTGGCGGCACACTTGAAACGTATATGAAAAAGAAGAGCGCCACGGTAAAGGCGGGTTCGATGTTCAGCTATGAACAGAAAACTTGATGCTAGCCCCCATGTATATTATCAGGAGGGGTAGTCCATGTTCACTGCACGTGAATGTAGCTGAAAGCTGCGGTGGTCCAGCTGCCCAATTCTTAATGGATCCATGCTTACTCGCACCCTTTTGGAACGATACTGTCCATGCGGCAGGCTTAGTCTATCTCCAGTTTGTTTTCCAGGAAACTACATTAAATGGTAGCATGTTTTTTGCCGACGTCGGAGAGATTTGTCGATACTTTAAATGGTTTTAGTCTCAGTTCATCCAGATCCAGCTATATTTGCAGCCAGTGGAACCCACTTAAAGCTCTTCACAGGTAAACCCTCAGCCACCTGGAAGCGTGGAGCGACCCCAACTGCATTTGGCTGCCCCCTTCCCCGCTTGGCGAGTGGCCCAGGTCAAGCCTAGTGCTTCGCGGAAGGTGATCAAAAAGTTGCGCCCAGCTTGGGGATGATGCAGCCCTGGGGTAAAGCAGCCATTGATCTGAGATGCTGTCGATGTGTTGCCTGTTTTCTTGAAACGCAGATAATTACGTTGGACATGCATTGGCCTCATGTGAGTTGATGGGCTTGGTGTGACCCAATTGCACAAGGCAACCATGCTTGCCTGATGTCATGTTCAGATTGTGAAGCGGCAACACATGAATCAGAACAACTGGTCTTAATTATGCCCTATATGAATATAGGGTAGCATCAGGCAAATGTACACTTGCTTGTCGTCGGACTTTCTCTCTAGCAGTTCATGTCTTGCAAACTAAAAGTAGCCAAGGACATGCGCATGCACTGACAAACAAGGGCAGAACTGCGGTTAAGCCAGAAACTCCTTATGACATGAAATCCAAATGAGGCGATCTGACCTCAATGCGGGTTTGTTTGATGCCTCATTTTGGCTGAGTGGCGCACCTCCGCTCCCGTGAGTTGTGGGCAGGTCATCTACATTGCACCATTGAAGGCTCTTGCGCGCGAGAGGATGGAGGACCCATCACTTTCTCACCTGCAGAAGGGCTCATCACCCCGAAGAGTCGCCAAGGGCAATTATGATCCGACCACGGTAATGTTGAATGACCGCGTGAACAGCATGTTGTTGGAACGTGACGAAACAACATCGTGTTGCTGACGAGTGTGTACTGTTAGCCACTGCAATGTTGATCGAGCTACGGCTGCTGTGCTGCTTAGACTTTGGTTTGGCATTTACAGAAACCAGGACTGGGAAGAGCGATTTCAGCGACGGTTCTGTCCTTAGACTGGGCCTTTGGGTCGTTCTGTGTTCCGAGTGGCGTGTTTGTAAATGCTGGTGTCAGGTTGTTGATGCATTGGAATCATCTACAACTACAAAATGGTGCGTTGAAGGACATGAAGCAACTTTTTGTTGATCCCATAGTCATGTATACTCAGGCAGCTCACAGATTGCTTTGAAGCATGCGTGCAGCTTGCAGCCCCCGGGCATCTCGGATTTGCTACGAGGTTGGGCAAGACGGTGGTGGAGCTCACTGGAGACTTTACGCCAGATGTCAGCAACTTAGAGTGCATCGGCATCAGAGGTTTCGTGCTTACACGCAGAGGCTTGCAGTCAAGGGATTAAGCAGTTGTCAGTGCCCGTCGACTCAACTGAAAGCTAAAAGACACCCATGCTGCTTGCTTAGTGCAGCTTGTACAGGGCATATTAATGGTGCGGGTGCTTTGCAGTGAGGTAGCTGAGTGTTTGTGGCTCACCAATGGGGAGCTTCATGGACAAAAATGTTCATGATATCGCACGTTTGTATTTGCAAGTTCTTTACAGAAACCAACCATAAACAGCAAGAGCACATTTGATGTACGCTTCAGACACTTAAGACATGCTTGATCTGGATAGGGCCGGATAAGGTCGAGTTTGCACAAGCCCCATTTGCAGGCCACACGGTTGATTGGATCACGATCAAGTCCTTGTCGCTGGCACATTGGCAAGCATTGCAGTGGCCAATTCATGGCGGCTGCACAGGGTGAAGCAGGTGACCTCTCCTATGATGGCGTTTTGTTTAGATGGATCCCTTCAGGGCGGCTGCTTATGATTGTAATACACCCCATCCCAGATCAGAGGTGCCATCTTGAAGCAAGGCAATACCAATGCCATACATGTAAGACCGCGGTTGCGGCCTCCTCGGTAGTCTCCTCGCATGTCCCTGTGGCAAGTTGAATGAGTTTCGCAACAGGCAGTGAGAGTCTTGGAGTCTTGGGGAGAAGTCCAGTCGAGAAACGCATTGCAGGTTCTGGCATTGCATGATTTTGGACCACGTTTGCGGCAGCGAAAATCGGGCCGTGTTGATTCCTGTTTGAGGAATTTTGTTTGATTTGGTTTCCATGGGTGCTGCTGGTTCGTCTTGGGTCACCGACATGTACTGAGTGACGGTGTGGCCTCAAGCAACATTTCTATATTGCTGACACAACTCTGGGTCATTCGTTGCACTGCTGGCAGCCAGTATAGAACAAAGCAAAGACCCATAAATGTGCAATTATTGCGTGCATGGAGCAACTTATCCGCAGCGTGTGTTGCTGAAGCCTGCGATGTGTCTGTGATTGTTTATCAGCAGGCAACGCTCAGCACGTTGGACTCGACTCTATGTAGTTCAAAGTCTTTCATTCATGGAGGATGTTGTCGCGGCAAGCTTCTGCAGAAGAGAAGTCGCAGATGAGGATGACAAAGGTCTCAGTTTCTGCTTCCATGAATGACATGTTGCCGTGCCTTTGTGTGTGTGTGTGTCTAGCCGCTGAATGGTTTGACCGATTTCCCTGGTGCCAGATTGACGCACTGGAGCGAGCAGATGTGGTCGCCCTGCTCTCGGATCGCGGGAATGGTGACAGAGATTCCACTTGGAGTTTAGCGGGATTCAAGCTCGGCATGCTCAGCAAGAACGCTTTGTGCCAAAGCACTGCTCCAAACCGCCTCAACATGATATGGCCCTTTGGATTAGTGTCCCGCAAATGTCAAACAAACTTGCAGGTATGGAGTTTGGAAGTATGGATGCCTGACACGGTACACCTTGTATATAAGTCGTACATAAACTCCATTCCTCCAATTCAATACCTGAATTCCCTTGATAATTTTGACTGCAGCATCCTTAGCAAGGTGACTTTGCCTAGCTGTTGTGTGAGTGTGTATTGAATGAGCCACAGACAGACGGACGGACAGACAGACAGACAGACAGATGGGGAGACAGACGAGGCATA